CTTGGTCATGCTGATGAACTTTGTATTAAAAAAGAACCTATACTTCCTTATAAAAAATTGAATGGGAGGGTACAATGTGGGTTTACTATGGAGGTCGGAAATGCAGGTCAGCCCCAGATTCACGATTTATCGAAACAGTATGTATTACCTTGGGATTCCCCATTTCGAACATGAAACTTTGTCAGGATGTTCGCTAGGACATGCTGATCAACGCTATTCAAATAAAAACCACACACTTCATTGCGAATATTTAAATGCGGGGCGGCCCAAATGGTGGATGATGGGAACAAAAGAGCGAATGGTCCACCGCCCCGAGGTTGTCTATCTCCAACTTGAAAATTGCTCAGAAGGGTGCTCTCGAGCATGTTGATCAACTTTTTCTAATGAGGACCTCACGTTTCATTTGAAAATTTGGAATGAGAGCGTCCAAAAGTTTGAAAGACGGAGACATTCGCAGGGTCTGTCTTTCAAGAATTTTCATGTTTGCTGTTCCAGCGTAGCTCAGTCAAATCGGCTCGGATCAAGATACTTGGATGATGGAAATGCTCGGCTGGAGCAGGAGAATCGTTCACATGTCATAGAATGGACAACAGCTCGAAATGGGAGGAAGTGGCTATGAGCTGCTAATCATAGATAGTGTATATGGTATCATACATTGGCCATTCCAGTCATGCAAAATGGCTCCGTTACACGAACACGCCCCTCTGCATCTTTGGCTCTATTGTAGTCATACTACTTGACAATGAACAAAGAACTCTTTTCATATAGCATTACGCTTACAGCATATGTAAAACATAAAGGTGCCTGTATCTCCAAACTTTACAATCAAACGAGGGCTCTTTATTAGATCAACGTGCTCGTCGGGGTCAAAGGAATCTTGTGTCAAAGTATGAAGTTCATCGTGGGCAATCCCAGATTTCGCAATGTCGCTACCAGCCAAACTGGATCCGGGGCTCAACCTCTTTCGACGACGACCAAAAAAAAATATTTTTTGGGCTGTTTGCGACATTGAATGTGAAAGTTTCACACAAGGTGCTGTTGACCAAGCCGAGCCCATTGCTCTATTCAAAACCCCACGTTTCATTGTAAAGTTTGGAGATACAGGCACCTTTATGTTTGTAAGCGTGATGCTATATGAAGAGTGACTTTGTTCATTGTCAAGTAGCTAGACCCTGACAGAGCAAAAGATGCAGACGGTCGTGTTGTGCAACACAGCTACGTTTGCATGAATGAAAGGGTCAATGCATAATTACTTTATGGGTCATCTAGGAACAGGCATGTATTGCTAGCTAACGGCCACTTTTATCCAATCGTCATTGTTGCGAGATCCACTGCATGGGAACTATGCCCCTGCTCCAGACATTCATTTCCATGATTAAAGTAGGTTGATCCGAGCTGATTTGACTGAGCTGTGGTCAAAGAGAGATTACATCACTCTGGACATAAAGCACGCTCGATGTAGCTCAACCGATGTAATCTTGTGTGAGCGTAACTCAACCAAATCAGCTCGGATCAACCTACTTTGATCACGGAAATGAATGTCTAGAGCAGGAGCATCATCCACCTACAATAGAATGCACAAAAGTTGGGAATGCACAAAAGTGGCTATTAGCTGCCAATGTATGACATAAAAGTGAGGGTTGCGTACCTTTCATGCATTGTCCCTGAAGTCCTGGCTTTTTATCTGAGTTACCCAAAGAGGTCCTTCTGCATCTTTGGCTCTCCAGGATCTAGCTACTTGGTAATGAACAAAGACCACTTCTCATATAGCATCACGCTTACAAACATAAAGGTGCCTGTATCTCCAAACTTTACAATGAAACGTGGGGTTTTTATTAGAGCAATGTGCTCGGCTTGGCCAACTGCACCTTGTGTGAAAGTTTCACGTTCATCGTGGCCATCCCAGATTTCGCAATGTCGCTACCAGCCAAACTGGATCCAGGGGTCGACCTCTTGAATTTCTTTTCGACGACCAAAAAATATTTTTTGGGCTGTTTGCGACAGTGAACGCGAAACTTTCACACAAGGTGCTTTTGGCCAAGCCGAGCCCATTGCTCTAATAAAAACCACACGTTTCGTTGTAAAGTTTGGAGATACAGGCACCTTTATGTTTTACCTATGCTGTAAGCGTGATGGAGTTGCTTTTTCCTAGTGGATTGTGTCGGCTGCATTAACGGAAAGATGAAGAGCTGAGTGAAACGGCACGTGGTGGTTACACAAACACGTCCTTGACAGGTTGCTGCACAAATGGATGATGATGATGATGATGATGATGATTGCCTTTGAAGGTACGTAAGTGAAACAACATCCAACGATGAAGGTGGGTCAAGGTATGTGTATATCACATTTGCATGTAGGAGTAAGATCGAGCTGCATACATAAACCAATTTGTGTATGCAAAAGGTACGTGTACATATTGATCGGTCACTCATCCTGAAACTCAATGGAGGATCACGTTTCCTCTCAAGGTGAACCCACTCTTCATTGTATCAGAAAGGTAACACGCTTCTTACAAGACCGATAAGGGAGCCACGCTTCCATATTTATTATTCCATCTAAGCGATATCACTATGTAATCCACAAGCATGCAACAAAATGGATAAGCTAGCAAAGTGCAAGTGCGGTAATAAACAATCCTTTATTTCCTCTATGCAGTTATAGCTACCTACTTTGCCACCATCCTCACCTTCCTCGTCCATCCTCATTCGTAGTCGTATTCGTAGGCGTAGTCGTGCTCGTGGTCATGCTCCTCATAGTCATCATCCTCGTCGTCTCGAAGGTCGTCATCGCATATATCCAAAAGGGCACAAGTAGAAAAGAATGGGACCCGGCAGGCTTCCTTTTAGATGTCAGCGAGATATGGCACTTGATCAGGCAACATCATCTTCGTAAGAGAACGACAAACCATGGTTGTTTGTTCCATTGTGGTCATTGTCGTAATCATTGTGTTCGTTGTCGTAGTCATCATCAAACTGGTAATCGTGTCTAGAAATAAAAAAAAGCAGGCAAGTTAGATAATCTGCTACCGGGAATGATGACGATTTGACATACCTTTAGGTGATCCTCTCTAAGTAAGAAAGCAAATCAGAAGGAATTTACAAATCAAATCACCACCATACGAGCAACGCCGGGCGACCCCCTGTTCTTGAGAAAGCACTGCACGAATCACGCAAGGCCAGTTCGATCCATGGCAAGGAAGTACATCACTTACATAGAGTCCAGGCTCATAGTTGTCCTCATTCTCCTCTCCAAAGAAAGAATGATCCCAATCCTTCCAATCATTTCCCACCTCATGAAAAGAAAATCCTCAAAGGGAAAGAACGAGCCTATCACGAGAAGAGCATGTTGGTTCAACACATTCACAAGCTGTTGCAAATCCCCTTTTACCTCAACACGGTGACCATGCTCTTCCAAAAACCCATCGTCATCGACCCATCCTCAACTCAACGCAGGCCTATAGAGCCCTGGACGCGTTCCAAGAAGCTTTTCCAGCGCACTTGGCTAGTGCAGAGCGACACAGCGACCACTTGATACAGGCTGGGACTTGAACCCAAAGAGATGATGATGATGCCCCAAGTTGCATTGCCTGACCAAAGAGACCTATTCAATTCGTTATTAGCACACACACAATAAACACCCTTTTCATTGTTTGTTTCATTGTACTTGCCTTTTCCATATACACAAAGACCCGTTGTTGTTGGTTACTGGAAACCGAAAACGGTGGTGTAGTAGTGTTGTTGAGCCGAAACAAAACGCCAAACCAGCCAACGTCTTGAAACCAAACTTGCCCTCTATACAAGCTAACACGTCAATGGAACCAGTTCGGCTGCAACATTGGACTCTGAATGTACCTGTTGACACCAAGCATAGAGCGGGAATAGCAACGAACAAGAGGAAGCAACAATATCGCCATGGCAACCACCAACCACCCACCACGCTCCATTCGTCAGCACTTGGACACGCCCACTCCCTGACAATGCAAGTTCAGAACTACATTAAAACCTCACAGCCAACAATAGCACTCTTCTATAACACATTACCTTGATCGAGATGTCGTGATTGGGATAAAAGCAGAGGAGTGAGAAAGAGAAGAGAAGCCCTGTGACCCTCAAGTCGTGGAGCTGCCGCCCCCAAGTTTAAATCCCCCTACTGCTATTACACTGAGGCCACTCAATTACCCTATACACCACCATCCACCCATCATGATCATCACCCTCACGATAGAAAATAAGCACACGTAAATAAAAGACATGATCCTCACGAAGGGTGTGTGCCATTTTACACTTTACATGATAATGATGATCCAACATCGGCCATTGCCTTACTAACAGGTCCCCAACCATCCGTCTATTTTACTCATCATCCATTCCGAAGCGCCCTTTTTCCTAGTATGCTCGACGTTGTCTTCAACCAAAAAGGTCCTTCACTTTCCATACATATACCAATCACGCTCCCACCAATAAAAAGATCACTTCTTGTACACTAATACTCAAGAGTGCACGATCAAACATGGCATGATTGATATTCCAGAAATGGTCAGCGCATCCAAAAGCATCTTGTAATGCCAAACCCCTCTCAGGCTGGACGTCGATTGTCATTCTCTGATGCTGTCAACTACAATAAATCATCCTGGACAACCTTCATGGCGAGACACCAATACCAATTTTACGCCTCACGCTTCATACAATTCCAAACAAGATACTATCGGATACAGTTATCATTTTTGGCTTATTCACCATACCATGGTCGACTTGAAAAAAGTGCCATACGTGCTATCATAGGTGGACCTTACTATAGGCATATCCTTTATGCACTATCCACCAATAGGATCGACCCATTAACTCAATCCCACTCGTAAAATTACAGAAGCACCTACACGCTTAATGCATCATTTGGTTTACACGTGAACCACAACCCGTAAAATGTTGTCAGAAGCATTATTAGGATACATAGCATCCACAACGAGCACAAATTATGCAGAAACACAAAACAGAGTTTTACTACCATGAGAGTCTTGGTATTTTACTTTCTAGCTTCGTTCTAATACAAGTATTGGTTCGATTCTTTGTGATGCGGTAGGGAGGGTAAATATGTAACTCTTGTAACTGTGGGCATTCCAATAGGTTCAATAAACTTGTTGGCGCATTGTGCATAAAGAGAGATAGCATGATCAAATGAAGCGACTTGATGTTCAGCTTGGAGAGCTGTGCAAAGACGATATCGGGTATTGGAGCGTCGCTGACTACTTCAAGGTGCTGTAATTGTGGACATCTCAACCTCAGTTTTTGAATGAAGCGTGAAGCCTTTTTACCATCTTCATCATCTTCACCTTGCACCGTAGACAAATCAAATCCCAAGGTCTTGAGTCGTGGCAGTGTTGTTAATGCGTCCAACGCATCATTGGATAGACGTGTGTACTGTGGAAGTATCAATGTGTGTAATTGCGTATCGATCCTGCTGTGGTATTGGATAAAGCGCTCCATGCCTCCCTCGTACATCAAAGTACACTTGTTCGGCAATTTGATGATAGCGGATTCAAGTGTGCAAATGCCAACCAAGTAATCAAATAGTTCGCCAGCATTGACAAAGACCAGGTCGTCATGATCGAAACCTCTGACAAGCTCAAAGCTCTTCAAATGAGGTGATTTCTGTACAACCATTCTGGCGATGCAAAGATGTTCCGGTACGTATATTTCTTGTTGTTTATAACTTGTCATCCGGGTAAATGTAAATGCATTGCTATCAGCAACAACAGAATGGCCATCCGATTCTTCATCGTTGTAAGGGAATGTTGTGCAAAAGGAGATGTCTTGCAATGTGTCGCTGTTTTGTTGCATGAATTCCACCACATGCTCTATCTCGCCTTGATGCAGATCCGACCAGCGAGTTTCATAGTCATGAATATAAAGCATCCGCACGCCAACCATAGTAGTAGGCGTATCATCATAGTTGCTTGTTGCGGGGAAACCAACACTCCCATGGCTCCCGATGACTTCGAGTTTTGGACAATTGTCTTGAATGATCCCCAAATCTTTTGCATACTGAAAAGGCGAAGTTACAAGTCTTTCCAATCCAGGGAGTCGTTTGGTGATATCATCCATATCAAGGTCTTGATACTTATTCAGCATAAACGACAATGATTTCAAATTGGGGCAGCTTGCGGGTGCAGTTGACATGTTCGCACTGATATAGGTAGTCTCCAAATCAACAAGGCTTGGGCAGTTGTTGAGAATATCGCCAAAGGGAATGAAGTAAGACTCGCCTGCAAAGATCCGCAAGCGGGTCAACGTCGCTGTATATCGAAAAGACGCAACGATGTCGAGGAAGTGACGACTGCCACAATAACCGTATTCATCATAGTTGTCACCAGCAGAGACCCTAAGAAACTAAGTCAGCGTTAAGGATAGAGAGGTATACTACGTATCATACCACACTTACTGGTTAATGTTCAAAGCCTTTAATAAAGGATACCTTGCATCTGATATGAAATCGCGTAAACAAGTAACTCGACTTTCAAGCGTAAGGGTTGTACAATAAGTGGCAATCAGACCCGGAAGACCATCAGCATCCAGATGGCTGTCATTGGTTGTGCTTAATACATGCAATTCTCGAACACAGGATAAGAGCTTCTCTCGCCATACACGTGACACATCAAGATATTCTCGGATTTCACTTGGTGCCATCCTCTCCGTAGACAAGATCCATGGTGCAATATTCATAATGATGTCCAAAGGGAGTTCATTGATGAAATCGATTCTCTTCCTATCACGTTGTTGAGCCATCGATCGTGCTTCCACAAGTTGTTGATGAGATGGATCCGATGATGAAACAGCGGCCAGCCCCTTATCATAGATATTAATCGCTGCTTTTTGTCGTCCTTGAAGTGAATACACGTGACCAGCACACAAGTATCCCATTGCCGAAGAAGGAACCAGTTGTCGTATCCTAGCAACATCTTTCAAGGCTGCCCCAAAGCTGCCACAAGTTGCCAAGGCTCTCGCACGGTTGTCAAGGTGTGTGAGTTGTTCTTGTACGCATTGTTGAAGAGAGCGTGTCGAATCGGCAATAACATTGGCGCATGTGCCTGACTTGATGACAGGGATCGGTTGCTCGGTGACATTGCTCCACAAGTTGACCATGGTATTGGTAAAAGACAAAGGACACTGGTATCATCACGGCACGACCCGGCGGACTTGAAGGATGTTGTAATCAATGCATTGATGTGTGGTTGCCAACTCCACTATGCAGTGGCCCAATGAGTGCATTTTGACTTTGAAACATCCTGTACAGTATACAAGATAGAAAAACAAATCAAACGAAGATAGCCGTATCCAACATCTCCAATGCATTAGACACAATAGTTTTTACATCCACTCCATCATCATCATCCATATCAAAAAGACCAAGTACCACGTCCACCATTTGTATTTATCAAAGGACACTTTCTCTATCTTAGTTTTTAACATGTTTCTAATCTCCTCAATGAGTGGTTCATCTTTACCAAGGGAATGACTAACAAACAACTTTTGTAAATTTGGGCATTGCAGCAGGCTCAATAAAATGGACGGCTTGGGAAGCTTCAAGATGGGTATGTATAAGTTAAGTGAGATGATGTTTAGCTTGGTTAGCTGTAAAAAGACGTCGTCAGGGACACCCTCATCGCTGCATATCTCCAAATGCTGCAACCGATCCAACTTGCCAATAAAATCAGAGCACTTTTCATGGTCACTCTCCTCTTCTTGATCTTCCTTCATCAAAGGCCAGCAGATACTCAAGTTCTCAAGTCGTGGCAACGTTATCAGGACATCCAATGCATCCTTGGAAAGTCGTGTGTGATTGGGAAGGGTTAATGTGTGCAAGGGAGAATCAAAGGTGCCAAGGTATCGAATAAATCGCTCAGCGCCTCCCGTATCCGTGGTAGGATCTCCATGCAAATCAACGATGACCGACTCAAGTTCGCAATGGCCAATCAGATCATCAAATAATGCACTTGTGTCGACCGCATTTGGAGCGCACCGCCTATTTCTCAGTAGTTTGATATCCTTTAAATGGGGGGATCTTCGTGCAATCCATCTTGTTAAAAGCATGTCACCATAGTCGTGTATATAATTGACAAACGTTGTCACGGACTTGAAGAGAACACCGTCATCAGCTTGAATTGCATGGTTAAGAGTGGGTACACTGCTGGCACTCCCACCCACCAGTTCAACGTAAAAGTAGACATGTTGCAAAGTGTGGCTGTTGCGTCTTATAAAATCCATGATGTCCTCGAGATCCACATCGAAATAATTCATCTCATGACAATTAACATAGAATGTATGCACACCGATACAATCCTGCTGATCGCCATGATTTTTGCTCCTCGTGGCTGTGGTAGTGGTGGGTGGTACATAGAAATAGGAAGCCTCATGATCATTGTATGCAACAATTTTGAGATTTGGACAATTGTCTTGGAGGGTATTCAAGTCTTTGGTGTCGTAAAAAGCATGCGCTGCCAATACTTCCAATCCAGGTAATCGCTTGGTAATATCTTGGATATCCGATTCGTCATCGTACTTCCAAAGCAGCAGCCTCTTGAGATTGGGATGGCATTCGGGTGCGTCCTCCATATCGGTATCCACATCATACGTCTCCAAATGCACTAGGTTCGGGCAGCTGCTGAGAATTTCACCAAGCCAGACGCCGTATGCGGATGTCGTGATTTCCAAGTGTGTCAAGGTTGATCCCAACGATGCAACAACATCAACTGCTCTTGCAACCATGTTATCATCATCACCATTTCTTAGACTATATAATCACAATGAGCACCTGTTCTCTGAAAGGATCATGAATGGAGATTATACACTTACAATACTGCGATTAAAGTATGTAATGAAGGAAATCGTGTCCTTGACACCAGTCGATGGAAGCCGGTAGCACCTTGCTCGAGCGTAAGAGTAGTACAGTGGGGCGCAATGTGCTCAAGTAAATCATCATCATCGGCAAGATCATCATCGGTCACGATATCAAGACGCAAATCTCGTATACACATCAATAATCTTTCTCGCCATACACGTGACACGTCAAGATATTGCCGTATTTCATTCGGTGCTATCAACTCCTTAGACAAGATCCTTGGTGCAATATTCTCAATAATGTCAATAGGGAGCTCCTTGACGAAATCGATTCTTGTGCTATGTTGCTCTTGAGCCATTGATTGTGCTTCAACTAGTTGTTGATGAGAGGGATCAGATAATGAAACAACAGCCAGCCCTTGATCATAAATGGCAATCGCCGCCTTTTGATGTCCTTGGAGTGAATACACGTGACCAGCACACAAGTACCCCATTGCCGAAGAAGGAGCTAGTTGTCGTATCCTAGCAACATCTCTTAAAGCTGCTTCAAAGTTGCCACTGGTTGCCAAGGCTCTTGCACGGTTGTCAAGGTGTGTGAGTTGTTCTTGTACGCATTGTTGGAGACGGCGTGTCGAATCGGCAACGACATTGAGGCATGTGCCTGACTTGATGGCAACGATCGGTTGCTCGGTGAAATCGCTCCATACGTTGACCATGGTTGATAAAAGACAAAGGACGATAGGTCGAACCAAGCCCATCGGCGTTGTTATATAGGATGATGATCACCAGCTTCCCATGACAACGGCTTGTACGACTATGCCACCACAACCCGATCATCATTTTCAGACATAGACAATGAATCGTCCACATTAGGGTTTTATTATGCTGTTGACTTAATAAAGCATGTCTTAATACATCCACGTCACTATGGGTCATCTTGCAAGAAGCAGTAGCTGGTTTGTCATATGTGCAGCGCAGCACAAACCTACCATGCTAAGCCGACGCGTCTTGGGGCTAGTAATGCGCCGCTATTGATTAATGAACGTAACAGGGAATCCATCAACAACCATAGTAAACCATATCCAACCACTGCCAGCTTGGTATTTTTCCATATCCGCAATCTTTTACTTGCCGGCCCACTGTCATCCTTTTCCCTTCCAATCTCTCTCGTTACGTTACTTGATGTAGATCCACATAGTTTATTCATGAATGGCTATTCTTTATACTACCTGATATCGCCCAAATAGGGATGGTGTTGGACTTGGTCATATAATCTTGTAGTTTTGATCGCTTCATACACGTTGGGGTAAGCACATTCGAATGATTGATACTTGTTTACATTGGTCTCGTGTTGATCTGCCATGGCCCAAGTCCTCAGTAGCCTGATATCAAACCCCCATTCCCGCCATAGTAGACTGTGGCCCTAGTACGGCTTTGCAAGTGCATCTTCAGTGTTCGCTACATGAAAAGGAATGTAAGTCATTTTATGTATGGTGTTGTAAAACCAATCAAAGTATCGAGAAAGCAATAGTGGTTTTTATTTCGTGATCTTTTTTATATAATAAAATCGGCTCTGTAGTAAAAAGTTGGCTACCCAACTCCCAGTACACCGATGCAGGTCCATGCCATTTGCGAGAGCATAGGCCTCAAACTTCAAAACAGACCTAATTCGTAATAGAGCAAGGTTCTTGTGCTCCCACCCCAATTTCATCGCATCAACGCCGACTTCACGTGCTTGCTCAAAGAAGTCTTGTAGTATAGCATCACGTTGTTCTGCCAACTTGTCATATAGATTCAAGTCGAAGTCAAGGAAAGCAAGTACGTGTCCCTTAGTAACCCGTCCTTTTGGCCCTTCGATGTCGCGCCCGGATGACAGCTTGTGTAGAAGTATACTCAAAGCGTCGATGCTTTCTTCATAATCCTGGAGGTCAAATTCTCCACTTTCCTCATGATCATGGGGATAAAATGCGCTACTTGAAGCATTGCTGATGATGATAACAATGACAATGAAACGCTAATAAAGATCATCACAAGTATTGGTACATAGTTGTTCACAAAGAGGATCATCCGCCATAATACTCACACATCAGCTTGGGTTTTCAACGTATTGGTGACCGAAGGGTGATGTGAAGGAAGAAAGAGGTGCGTGACGGGTGAGCAGCATTCATCTTGTTTGTGCATGATGGGCGTATGAATTTTGTGCTCGCAAAACGGAAAGGATGATCAAGGCACGTTGGGAAATGGTGATGGACTGATGGATCGGCGTATAAGTTGATGGTATTTGATCACGCAATTGGAGCATCATGAAGGCGAATGCGCTGCAAGATAAGGCTGATTGCCGATAGTGTTGTTGTTCGAACAAAGAAAATGTCCAAAATGCCCATAGCAGTCGATAAAGATCCAGGGGTGCGTGATGAGTGACTGATCCAGTCCCATACTGTAGTCATGATCCTGCTCATCCTTCGTATTATCACCACCACCATGCCAGTCGCTATACTCTGCATAATGAACACCGCATACGAGTACATTTGGCGCTGTTGACTTGAGTAAACTTCAGGCCTTTTGAGTGTCAAATCCAGTATAATGATGACCGATGGCTGATGGGCTGTCTCCGTGGCAATGGTGATAGTCAAATAACCGAATCTTCAATACAAAGGATACGCGTGCTCCATTTTTGGTGATGCTCCATATGATATCACGGCAGCTGCTGATTCGTTCCATCCCATCCTCGTCAAGGTGTTGCTCTTTGTCATTGATGTAAGCATAATGAAACCAAGCCAAGGAATGTTCCATGGTACATACTTGCTCTTGCAAGACCTATAATAGCATCATCAATACCCTGCTACGGTTGACTCTATCACCAGCGACTAATGCTTACCGTTGTGCCCATGGATCCTGCCAACGAGTCATATCCTACACAACACTATGAGAATCACCTACCAATAATACAATAGGATATGGGATATACCTTCAAGAGCCATCTGAACTTGAGCTTCGACTTTTGGCTTGCGCCACGCATCTAGCGACCCATGCATGGATACACAGTGAGTTCCTTGATATAGATCAAGTCCTCATGGTCGTGGAGTACTTGGTTGGTGCAAACGTAGCAATGGCTATTACACAACAATCGGCATGAGCTTGACAGGATAAACGGGTCTTGAAGAGTGAACGTACGAAGTGGATTGTCAACAAGAATAGAAGAACGTCGACTTCAAGACGCGGTGGCATGTAAAGGTTGCAATTGCTGGTGGTTGGAAGCAAAGAAGTGCGGATGTTGGACGCGTCATTGTGAAGAAGGAGAAGTGACGAGGTGGGTCCGGTATTCGAGCGTTCCTATTTTTCCATGACAACCCCGCTTATGCTGCTCCCATGCTTGGTTGGTGCCACACAAGGTACATTCTGATTGCTGTCTCATTTAGGTTAGTTGGCTTACAAAATTGACATCCGAGATCTTTGTCTTCTTGCTTACATGCATCAAGGAGAATAGCAGGCTGATTATTGAATGCTAATAACAAGGTAATAATCCCATCTTTTGCTTATATATGTAGGCATGTCTCTTTAGAACATCGTCTCGTAAATGAAATAAAAAAGATATCTACGATAAGCAATATGGGAAGGAGATGAAAGGTAGTAGGATGATGCTACAAAGAAGGATGATAAGAAAAGACACGTGATCCGACCAGCCGTTTACAGCTTCTGATATTTTACGGGTTGGGGGAGGGAGGGACCTGCTTACGTTATCTGAGCTCGGATCCTCCCCCAAGTAAAATTTCAGAAGCGCTATCGTGTAACGCAGGGGCTCAAGCTTGCATCAGTTGGTCACACAACATCCCCCACCCGTAAAATTTCAGAAGCGGCAGCATGTAACCCACAGGGCTTAAGCTTGCATCCTTTAGACTAGTTACACAAGACCGCAACCCGTAAAAACGTTGTCAGAAGCATCCCATAGATCCCCCATCTTCGACACTTTAGAAGGGCACGCATGTGTGGTGGACATGATCACATGAATAAAGACAAAGAAAAGGGATAATGAAGAATACGCTGAGACTATGAACTACCGATTTATTATGTGAATAGGTGTCCTTTTATACTTGAGATGAGGAATGATAGGTGTAGGAATGTATAATAAATCTAACGGGATGAGTCTTGGAATGGTAACCATGCATATCGGATACCACAGTATGCACATAACATTTATTATAGTGTACATAGATCATGGGGAAACATAAATCAGAATTTCACTACCAGCATAGTTTTGGTATTTGGCTTTCTAGCATTCTTCTAATAAAAGCATTGGTTTGATTCTTTGTGTTGCAGGGAGGAGAAATATAGAGCTCCTGTAACTGTGGGCATTCCAGTAGGTGCAATAAACTTGTTGCCGCCTTCTTCTTGCCCATAATGGGAGATAGCATCGTCAATTGAAGCGACGTAATGTTCAACTTGGACAGCTGTACAAAGACGACATCGGGAATTGGACCCTCGCTGAGTAGCTCGAGGTGTTGTAATTGTGGACATCCTGACCCCAGTTTTTGAATGAAGCTTGAAACCTTTTCGTCATCCTTAGCATCTTCATCTTGCACCAAAGACAAATCAAGTCCCAATGTCTTGAGCTGTGGCAATGCTGTCAATGTGTCCAACGCATCATTGGATAGGCGCATGTTCTGTGGAAGTATCAGCGTGTGTAATTGCGAATCAATCGTGCTGTGGTACTGGATAAAGCGCTCGACACTTTCCTTGTCCAACATAGGATCATTACTCGCCAATTTGATGATAGCGGATTTAAGTGTGGAAAGACCAATCAAGTCATCAAATAGTTCGCCGACATTGACATAGATCTTGTCATCATCATCAAAACCTCCTCTGACAAGTTCAAAGTGCTTCAAATGAGGTGATTTCTGTACAACCATTTTGGCGATGCGTAGATGTTGCGGTACGTATATTTTTTGCTGCTTGTAACTTGTCATCTGGGGGAATGTGACAGCATGGCTATTAGCAACAATAGGTGGTTCATCACTGTAAGGGAATGATGTGTAAAAAGAGACGTCTTGCAATGTGTGGCTGTTTTGTTGCATGAATTCCATCACGTAGTCCATCTCGCCTTCGTACGGATCCAGCCAGTGAGTAACATAGTCATGAAGATATAACATCCGCACACCATCCATAGTAGTTGTAGGCGTATCGTCATCATTGGTTGTTGCGAGGAAACCACCATCTCCATGGCTACCGATGATTTTGAGTTTTGGGCAGTTCCTTTGGATAGTACTCAAAGCTCCCGCATAATAAAAAGGCGAAATCACAAGTTTTTCCAATTCAGGGAATCGTTTGGTGATATCATCCATGTCAAACTCTTGTTCTTCATTCAACATAAACGACACCGATTTCATATTGGGGCAGCTCGTGGGTGCAGTAGACATGTCCGAATCGATACAGGTAGCTTCCAAGTCAACAAGGCTTGGGCAGTTGCTGAGAATATCGGCAAAGGGGATGTAGCAAGACTCATCTGCAAAGATCCTCAAGTGGGTCAATGTTGCTGTAGATCGAAAAGACGCAATGATGTCCCGGAGATAGCCACTGCCATATTCATCTTCTTCATCATAATCGCCACCAGCAGAGTCCCATGCCCTAAGAAAATGAATAAATTAGCTTTCGGGGATAGAGAGGTATGTATACTACTACGTATCATATCACACTTACTGGACTATGTGCAAGGACCGTAACAGAGGAAACTGTGTATCCGATATGAATTGACGTAAACAGGTAACTTTACTTTCAAGCGTAAGGGTTGTACAATAAGGTGCAATCAGACCAAGCAATTCCTTATCATCCAGATGGCTGTCATCGATTGTGCTCAATACATGCAATTCTCCAACACAGGCTAGTAGCTTCTCTCGCCATACACGTGACACCTCAAGATAATCTCGGATTTCACTTGGTGGTACTGATCCATCACACAACATGATTCTTGGTACGATATTCATAGTAATATCCAAAGGGAGCTTGTTGATGAAATCGATTCTTGTGCTATCACGTTGTTGAGCCATGGATCGTGCTTCCACAAGTCGTTGATGAGATGGATCAGATGATGGAACAGCAGCCAGCCCCTCATCATAAATATCGATCGCCGCCTCTTGTCGCCCTTGAAGTGAATACACGTGACCAGCACACAAGTATCCAGCAGCGGAAGAAGGAACCAGTTGTCGTATCCTAGTTGCATCTTTCAAGGCTGCTTCAAAGTTGCCGCAAGTTGCCAAGGCTTTTGCACGAGTGTCGAGGTGAGTGAGTTGTTCTTGTAAGCATTGTTGAAGACGGCGTGTCGAATCGGCAATAACATTGGGGCATGTGCCTGACTTGATGACAGGGATCGGTTGCTCGGTGACATCGCTCCACACATCGGCCATGGTATTGGTAAAAGACGAAGACGCTGGGATTGTCAACGACACGACCTGGCGGACTATAATCCAAGCATGACTGATGGCAGCTGTCAACTCCACTAGTGGGAAATTGATAAACCCAATGCGTGCATTTAACTTTGAAACACGCTGTACAGTATCAAGATCATCAAAACAACTCAAACGAAGCAAGCCATACCCAACATCTCCAATGCATTAGGCATCATAGCAGCTTTTCTACCCACACCATCACCTACCATCATCTACCATCATCATGTATAAATCCAAGTACGCCCACCCTCTATATTAACTAAAATTTACTGTCTCTATCTTGCTTCCTAACATGTTTCTAATCTCGTCAATCTGTGGGTCATCTTCATAGGAAGAAACACTAACGTCATCTTCATGGGAAGAATCACTAACATCCAGCTCTTCTAATTTTGGGCATTGCAGTAGGCTTAATAAAGCGAGCTGTTTGGAGGACTTAAAGATGGGCATGTGTAACTTGAGTGAGGTGACGTTTAGCTTGGATAGCTGTAAAAAGACGTCGTCAGGGATAACCTCATCGCTCCATATTTCTAAATGCTGCAATCGCTTCAATTTGCCAATAAGATGGGAACAATTTTCATCCTCTTGATCCTCTTCCTTCATCAAAGGCCAGCTGATGTTCAATTTCTCAAGTTGTGGCAACCTTGTCAATACCTCCAATGCATCCTTGGAAAGTCGTGTGTGCTTGGGAAGGGTTAATGTGTGTAATGGGGAATCAAAGGTGCCATGGTATTGAATAAATCGTTCAACGCCTCCCATATCCATGGCAGGATCCGCTTTCAAGTCAAAGACCACAGACTCAAGTTCGCAACGGCCAATCAGATCATCAAATAATGCACTTGTGTCAGCCGGACCCGCAGAGTAAGCCGCGTACCTCATTAATTCGAGTTCCTTTAAATGAGGAGATTCCCGTACGATCCATCTTGTTAAAAGAATATCATCATAGTCGCATATACAGTTGGTAAAAGTTGTCATTGACTTGAAGTAGGGAGCACCACCACCACCATCAGCAGCCTGGATTGCATGGTTAAGGATGGATGCGTTTTTGCCACCTCGACCACCCAGTGGATAGTAAAAGTAGACATGTTGCAAAGTGTGGTTGTTACGCCTCATGAAATCCATCACCTCCCTGATATTCGAATAGAAAGTTGTTGTATCAAAGCGATCAATATAGAGTGTATGTACACCACCCACACGATCATCATCATGCTTGCTCGTCGTCCTTGTGATGGTGGAGGGCAAATAGAAATAAGAGGTCTCGTGATCATTAATGCCAAGGACTTTGACATAGGGGCAATTGTCTTGGATGGTCTTCAAATCTTTGGTGTATTCAATAGGGTTAGCGGCAAACACTTCCAATCCAGGTAATCGCTTGGTAATGTCATCGATATCCACTGCTTCAATATTCCAATCCCAGGACAGCAATATTTTGAGATTCGGATGGCATTCAGGTCCATTCGCCAAATCCGCATCCATCTTGCGCGCCTCCAAATACACTAGGTTCGGACAGCTGCTGAGGATATCGCCAAGGCAAATCCCATATTCCCATGCATTGATTGTCAGATATCTCAAGGTTGATCCCACAGACGCGAGTGCATTCGTGCATATTTCAGGCGTTGTTTCATTACTCAAAGGTCTACATACATAGATACAATCAATGGCTGCTTTTTGATAGGATGAACGATATTACTTACTCTTCTGCATCATTTAAAGCCTTTAACGAAGGAAATAGTGTTTTTGGCATGAGTCGAGGGAACCCGTCTGTCGTATCTTGGAGCGTAAGAGCAGTACAAATGGGTGCAATCTGCTCAAGTAAATCATCGTCATCGGCAAGATCATCATCGGGAGTGCTTTCAATGTGCAGTTCTCGTATGGACATCAATAGTCTTTCTCGCCATACACGTGATACGTCAAGATACTCTCGTATTTCACTCGGTGGTATCTGTTCCTGCGGACACAAGATCCATGGTGCAATGTTCTCAATGATGTCGATAGGGAGCTCCTTGATGAAATCAATTCTTGTGCTATCACGCTCTTGAGCCATTGATCGTGCTTCGACAAGTCGTTGACGAGAGGGATCGGTTGATGGAACAGCATCCAGTCCTTGCTCGTAAATACCAATCGCCGCCTTTTGTCGTCCTTGAAGTGCATACACGTGACCCACACACAAATAACCCAATGGCGAAGAACGAACCACGCGTGTCATTGTATAAGCATCTTTCAAGGCTTCTTCAAAGTGACCACAAGTCGCCAAAGTTCTTGCACGGGCTTCAAGGTGTTCCAGCTGATCTTGGGCGCATTGGCAAAGACGGTCTGTCGAATCAGCAACAGCTTTGGGGCATGTGCCTGACTTGATGGTAAGAATGGGGTTCGCGGTGAAATCGTCCCAGGAATCAGCCATGATAAAAAGTAAAAAGACAACGGTTGCTAGGTTGGACCAAGCCCATAAGCGTTGTTATGTATGCATGGCGACCACCAGCCTCACATGTCAACGGCTTGTACGACTATGCCACCACACACACACAATCACCATTTTCAGCCATAGACAATGAATTACCCAAATTAGGATTACTTTTATTATGCTATTGACTGCTATAGTAATAAAGAATATCATCGAATCATCTATTACATTCATGTCACTATGGGTCATCTTGCAAGAAGCGGCAGCGGGATTGCCATATGTGTAGCGCAGCACAAACTTAATATGCTAAGCCGACGCATCTTGGGGCCAGTAATGCGGACGACGTGGTTTCCTCCGATGCTGATATAGAGTTGATCCATCAACCATGCTGCGAGCCATCTCCAACCACTGCCAGCTTGATTTTTCCCATTCCAGAATCTTCCAAATGCCACATCATCCTTTTCCATTCCGATATCCCTCGTTAGGTTACATAGTGTAGATCCACGTAGTTTATTCGCGATATTGCTATTCTTCAAGTGACGTGATGCCGTTGAAATAGAAATAATGTTGTATTTGGTGATGGATTCCTGTGGTTTGATCTCGTCATACACGTTGGCGTAGTCGTATTCGTATGGTTGATGTATATTCACAGTGGCGTCGTGTTGGTCCGCCATGGCCCAAGTCCTTTCATAGTAGCCTTAGATCAACCCATTCCCGCTAATAGTAGATTGTGCCCCCTGATCCCAACTTTGCAAATGCGTCCTTGGAGATAATAGCTACATTAAAAGGAATGTAAGCAGGTGGTTCCTCAGGCAAAATGAGAGCATGCTTTGATATTACCTGATTAAAGGTTCCAATCTCACAATGACAACTATGTAACACTAAAGATCATCACAAGTATTAATACATTGCTGTTCACGAGGAGGATCATCCGCCATAATACTCACACCAGCTTGGGGTTTCAAAGTGTCGGTGACCGAAAGGTGATGTGTTTGAAGTAAAATGATCGGCGACAGCATTCATCTTGTTCGTATGTGCATGGTTGGCGTATGCATTTTTGTAATGGACTGATATGGGCATAAGTTGATGATATGGATCAGGCAATTGGAACACCATGAGAGTGAATGCGCTGCAAGCGAGGGCTGATTGTTGATGGTGTTGTTGTTGGAACGAAGAAAATTTCCAAAAAGGCTCGTAGCAGTTGATGAAAGATCCAGTCCCATAATCACGATCCTGCTCCTCTGCGTAATGAACATCGCATCCGAGTACATACGTTTTGGGGCAGTGGCCTTGGGTAAACTTCAGGTCTTTTGAGTGTCAAACGCAGTATGCTGATAACCGATGCTGATGGGGGTGTCGTTGAGATGAATAATGGCCAACGTTCTCAGAACATGGTGATAGTCAAATAACCGAATCTTCAATACAAAGGATACGTTTGCTCCATTTTTGGTGATGTTCCATATGATATCACGGCAGCTGCTGATTCGTTCCATGTTTGCATCCATCCCATCCTCGTTAATGTGTTGCTCTTTGTCATTGATGTAAGCATAATGAAACTAAGACAAGGAATGTTCCATGGTACATACTTGTTCTTGCAAGACCTACAATAGCATCATCAATACCCTGCTTCGATTGACTCTATCCCCATACACCAATGCTTACCCTTGTGTCCATGCTTCCTGCCATTGAATTACCACCTACACAGCACTATGAGAATCACATACCAATAATACAATGAGAGATGGGATATACCTTCAAGAGCCAGGGCTTCGACTGTTCAGCTTGCGCCACGCATCGAGAGAGCTTATAACGCTTTTTACATGGGTATAGAATGAGCGTGATACAGAGTATGTCCTTATGGTGGTGGAGTACCTGATGGGTGCAAACGCGGTAATGTCTGCTACATAGCGATCGGTATGAGCTTGACGGCATAAACGTGTCTTAAAGAGTGTATCTACCTGGTGGATTGTCAACAGGAATACAAGAGGAACGTCGATTTCAAGATGTGGTCCATGTAAAGGTTGGCATTGCTGGTGGCTGGAAACAAGCAAGAGTGCGGATCTTGGACGCGTCCTTTGTGAACAAGAAGAGACACAGTGGGTTCCGTATATCAGCGTTCCTATTTTTCTATGACAACCCCGCTTATGCCGCTCCCGTGCTTGGTGCCACACAAGGTACTTCATGTTTCATCATGGCCTCCTTTGGCTTTTGTTGACTTGCTTGTGTGCGAGATCTGCACAGCTGATCCCCCCGTAAAATTTCAAAAGCGCCTGCATGTACACCCTTTGGGTTTAAGCTTGCATCGTTTAGTGACATAGAACCCCAACCCATAAAACGTTGCCAGAAGCCATATCACAGACACGCGCTCCCGCCGGTTGAGCTTTAAAGCTTCGTGCATGTAACATCCACAGTGACCCAAATTATGCAAAAACAGAAATTTATTACCACCATTCTCTGTGTATTTGCCTTACTAGTGCTCCGATAATATACTCATTGTTAGAATCCTTTGTTGTTTGCCAACTAGGCTCAAGTCGTAGATCTTGTAACTGTGGGCAGTCTAGTAGAGCCAACATACTTGCTGGCAGCGTGCTGTGGGTTGAGAGATATAGCATGGTCAAATGAAGCGACTTGATCTTTAGCTTGGACAGCTCTACAAAGACGATGTCAGGTATTGGATCCTTGCTGCGTAGCTCTAGGCGTTGTAATTGCGGACATCCTGACCCCAGCTTTTGAATGAAGCGTGAAATATTTGCACCATCAGCATCTTCACCTTGCACCAAAGGCAAACTAAATCCCAAGGTTTTGAGCTGTGGCAGTGCTGTCAATGTGTCCAGCGCATCATTGGATAGGCGTGCGTTATATGGAAGTATCAACGTGTGTAGTTGCGAATCAATCCTGCTGTGATGTTGAATAAAGCGCTCAATGCCTCCCATATCCATCAAAGGATCATTACTCTCCAATTTGACAATAACCGATTCAAGTTCGCAATGACTGGCGAGATCATCAAATAGTGCACCCACATCATTGGCAAGAAAACGGTAACGCGAGGATAAATCGAATGTCTTCAAATGAGGTGATTTCTGTGCAACCATTCTGGCCATGCGTAGATGCTCCTGTAATTGTATTTGTTGCGTATAACTTGTCACCCGGTTGAGTGTGCCAGCATTTCTATTAGCAGTGACAGCAGCGTGACGAGGTTGTTCATTGAAAGGAAGCCACGTGGAAAAGTGTACGTCTTGCAACGTGTGCCTGTTTCGTTGCATGAATTCCATCACGTGTTCCCAATTGCCGAGATCCTGATCCCTAGAGTAATCCTCATCAAGACCCTTCACGTAAAATGTACGCACACCGAGCGTAGTGGGGTCATCCAGTGGCAGTTTGTGATCGCATTTGGGGAAACCAAGACCATCGTGGCTACCAATGACGCTGAGTTTTGGGCAGTTGTTTTGGATAATCCTCAAATCTTTTGCATAATAAAAAGGCGAAGCCATGAGCCTTTCCAATCCAGGCAGTCTCTTGGTGATATCATCCATGCCATAGTCACGATCCTCCCTGACGCCGAACATAAACGATAACGATTTCAGATTGGGGCAGCATGTGGGTGCAGTAGACATACTCATATCAATCCAACTGGTTTGCAAATCAACAAGGTTTGGGCAGGTGCTGAGAATTTTGCCAAGGGGAATGTCGCATTCTTTCCCAACCAATAGTGTCAAGTGGGTCAATGTTCTACTTGCTCGAAAAGATACAATGGAGTCCACGACGATACGCCGAGCATAATCTTGATCCTCATCATCCTCAACTGCTGTAAAGCCACACATATCAGGGAATCCTATACTAAGGGAATGAATCAATTTCCAGGGATAGAAGGTATACATACACCGTATCACACTTACTGGCTTACACTCAAGGCCCGTAACGATGGAAACCGTAGTCTACTTTCCATGAGCTCGCGTAACCAAAAAGCATTAGTGTCAAGCTTAAGGGAGGTACAAGAGGGTCCAACGAGACGAAAAAAGAAACAATCCTCCAGAAAGCTGTCATCATCGACGATGGCGTCTATATGCAAATCTCGAACACCGCGTGATAACCTCCTCCGCCAAAGTCGTGAGACACAAAGATATTCTCGAATGCAACTCTCTGGTATATCATCTCCAGACATGAACCTTGATGCAACATTCGTAATGATCTCCAAAGGGAGCTTTTTGATGAAATCGATTCTTTTGCTATCACGTTCTTGCGCTATCGATCGTGCTTGAATCAACAATTGGCGAAAAGGATCCGATAATGGAGCAGCAGCCAACCCCTGATCATAAATAGCAATCGCCACCTTTTGCCGTCCTTGAAGTGAATACACGTGACCAGCACATAAATAGCCACCAGCCGAAGAAGGAAAAAGTTGTTGTATCCTAGCAGCATCTTTCAAGGCCGCTTCAAAGTTGCCACTGATAGCCAAAGCTCTTGCTCGGTTGTCAAGGTGTGTGAGTTGTTGTTGCATGCAATGTTGAAGACAGCGTGTCGATTCGGCAATAACATTGGCCCATGTGCCTGAATGGATGGCAAGGATCGGTTGCTGAGTGAAATCGCTCCATAGATCGGCCATGTTGTTGGTAAAAGTTAAAGACGCTGAGTTGAATTAATGGTCAACCATACTACTCTTGGGCGGACTGGAAGGATGCTGTGATCGATCATTCGGAAATCAATAAACCCAATGAGTGGTCTGAATGAGTCAACAGTGGCGGATGGGAGAAAGAGACAAGATGGGAGTGCAAGAACTGGAAATTAAATTGATTTCTCTGATGCCTTATATGATACTTGCATGACTAAACGTTGTTCTGTCAAATCTACTCGGATCAAAAAACACGAATGATGGAAATGATGGGCTGGAGCAGGAGAATAGTCCGTATACAATGGTGTGAGAAACAATGGTGAAGGGGATGAAGGATCAACTATCAATGTATGATTATACATTAAATAGAGTGCATTGATTCTTCCATGAGCTGGGTTACACAAGAAGCGGTTATGCGTCCTTGGCTGTTGATTCTATCAGGGTCTAGCTACTTGACAATGAACAAAGAGCACTTCTCATATAGCATCACGCTTACAAACATAAAGGTGCCTGTATCTCGAAACTTTACAATGAAACGTGGGGTTTTTATTAGAGCAATGTGCTCGGCTTGGCCAACAGCACCTTGTGTGAAAGTTTCGCGTTCAATGTCGCAAACAGCCCAAAAAATATTTTTTGGTCGTCGTCGTCGAAGAGGTCGACCCCCCAGATCCAGTTTGGCTGGTGGCGACATTGCGAAATCTGGGATTGGCAAGCTTGATCGTGAAACTTGCACCCAAGGTGCAGTTGGTCAAGCCAAGCCCATTGCTCTAATAAAAACCCCACGTTTCATTGTAAAGTTTGGAGATACAGGCACCTTTATGTTTGTAAGCGTGATGCTATATGAGAAGTGGTCTTTGTTCATTGCCAAGTAGCCAGACCTTGGAGAGCCAAAGATGCAGAAGGACCTCTTTGTGTAACTCAGCCAAAAAGTCAGGACTTCAGGGACAATGCATGAAAGGTACGCAACCCTCACTTTTATGTCATACATTGGCAGCTAATAGCCACTTTTGTGCATTCCCAACTTTTGTGCATTCTATTGTAGGTGGACAATTCTCCTGCTCTAGACATTCATTTCCATGATTAAAGTAGGTTGATCCGAGTTGATTTGGTTGAGTTACGCTCACACAAGATTACATCGGTTGAGCTAC